TTAGATGCGTCTTGACAAGCTTTACAAAAGTCTCTTAAGTTAGAAAAGTGATTAACTTAGTATAAAAAAAAGTTTTAAATGTGTGCACACCACATTCGCACCATAGTAAATTTATATAGTAATCTGAGTTACTTTTTACTATAATCATTCTCTGGTTGACTGGTAGATCACCAATTAAATGAAACAATTGAATAATATTGTAAAGAGTTAAACACAATTCATATTATAAATATTTTTAATTAGTATAACTTATTTGAATTAGCTTAATAATGGTTTAGTAACTGAATTATTTATTAATTATTTTTAAATTAACACAAATTCAAATCAATTTAATGATAAATTAGTTTAAAGATGGAAAAACAAAATTTTGTGCCTAAATCTAATTAATATGCATTAACTATTTCTAGAAGTTCAAATCAATTAATAAATCATTTGCTTTATATGCATTTTGATTATTCATCTGTTTCAAGCATATTTTAATATATCATTTGAATAGAGTTGAATATAAAACTAAATAGCATCTTAATATTTAGTTTGCTATCTAAAAAAAAGCTTTAAAAGACATTAGAATTTTTTAACTTATTTAAATTATAAATAATTAAATTACTTTTCTGAATTTTATTGTTTTCAAAATATCACTTATTGTTACTGGATTAACAACTTTAAATTAATAAATTATACAAATTGCTTGTATTTGTTTCTATTTTGTACCTATTTAACTATACTATCTACATAATAAAATGCACTTATAATATCTTTCCAGTTTCCAATACCTGATTGTAGCACTTGTAGACATATTCTTCTTTTTGATGTATTTATATATAAGGGCAAAAACTATAAAACTTGTAATAGTTATAGAGGTGCAAGAACTACTAACCAAAATAATTTAGAAGCATTTGTTGAAACAATTTTAATATATGAAGTTAGTGACTATATCACAAATGCAACTGATAATCTAGAAAATTATATCAAGCTTTCTTTTAATTTTTATATTTGACTTGATAAGACACTTAGTGGAGTTAATATAAATGTTAAGCCCATAGCCAAATTAATTATCGATAAAATAGAAAAAAATGACAGCTATATTTGGACATATGTATAAATACATATCTACTATACTGAATTGATTAAAAGATCTTTTTTTTATATAAAATATCTAAGTATTTATATAACACATATATACCATATATTTTACTAACTATAATGTATGAACACAATGTGTTCAAAATACTTTTGGGTATTTTATAATCTCTTTTATTTAGTATATATAAGCTGCCGTCAATAGAAATCAAGTAAATTAACATTAAAAAAAAAAAGTTAATACCTTAGTTTTTACAGCTCATATTTAGATAAATTTTAAAGCCATCTTGATTAATTAATATTCAAAAAAAGCTTAGATATTAAGCTTTTCTTTTAAATATTAATTAATTCAAATACTTCGAAATTCATCAAGATATAAGCTACAAAAGCTAAGATATTAATTTTTTTTTAAATATCAATCTCATATTTTGTACTAAAATTTTGGTCATCTAATCAGTGCACTATAATAAATATAACTATATTATCTTGTTTAACCAGATGCTAATAGCTAATTTATTTACAAATATAGTACTACAACTGTGCTAAAACTTTTAGCTTGTTATAATAGTGTTGAAAATATATTTTTCATGTTTTCAAAGTGATGAATTTGAATATGAATTCAAAGAATCAGGTCACAAAAGAATCTTTTGCTACAACTGTGATGGTAAGATATCAATTAAAATTATTATTTCAGTAGCAAAAGCTAAAGTAACCCTTAAACATGATCTTAAATATGACAAATCTATTGAGGTTACAATGCCAAGTGAAATAAAACAAAAGATTAGTAAAAATCTACATTTAAATCTTGTAGAATTATGACAACATCTTTGTAGAAAATTTGATATATCAACTGTTATATCTAAGCAAATTCACTACTGGTAGTTATATTATATTCAACAATTTTACAAAAGTGATAAAAATCACATTATTTTGGCACTTAAGTTTTTTGATTGAGATAATAATTATTGTGCTTTATGCTTCTAGCTTAAACAGATAATATGACTGCTATTGGCTTTACAACATGTCTATTTGAAAAATATTATTATACAAAAGTTCATTGTGATGCCACTTATAAGACTTCCAAGGGATGATTTAAACTTTATAGCTTTGTCAATAATATTGAAGGTATAGAAATTTCTTTCTTTTTTTTTTTATTATTTTTTTTCTTAATCTTTTTTTTTTCTAAATGATAATATTTTTAAATTTTTTTTTACTAAAGCGCTGATTTTCTACTAGCTTATTTAATTTTGAATGCTACAAAAGCCCCTAGAAATGAACAACAACAAGGACTACAAACTGGAGCACTTACTAGCTTTTTTTATTCTCTTTGTTATAAAGTATTAAATCCTATTTATTTTTATACTAATAAAGATTTTGCTAAAATAATTATTACAAAAAATGTATGACCCACAACTGATATATAGCTGTGCTTATAGTATATTGAAAAGACTATCAAAGAAAACTTAAAAGTTATAAGAAGATTGAGTATATAAATTATAACTATGAAGAAGTTATAAAAGAATTTAGCTTCGTCAATTAATTTTTTATACCCAATTTGCAACGAACTGATAACGAGTATTATATCCTTTGTTTACCTGACCTTCATAAAACTGTTGTTGAAATGGTTAAACCCTATTTTAACATGTATTCTAAAATCTCTGTTAATATTAATAGACAATTCTTGTCCTCTAATAAAATAAGAATCAAATCAGTTACTGAAATATAAGTTTTGTACTACTAATAATTTTGTAATACTATAAACTTATCTATGATCTTCTTGGTACAAACCAACATGGTAGTGTCTTAAAGCACATTTTACTTGAATGATAATACCATTACAGTCAAAGAATATACTATAAATATATAGTGCTGATTATACCATTTATAGTAATAGAATGCTAATCTAATGGTTCCAGAAATTTCTTTATATCAATCCAAGAATGATCACTAACCAATCAAATCAACTAAATAGAAAAAATTTTATTATTATGCAAACTAGAATATTCCAAATCTTATTTACTTTTTTAATGGTTTATTTACTTTTTAACAAGAGTTAACTAGAGTAGATTATTGTAGATTATTTAAACTATATATTTTTTACAATCTATTAATGCTTTTATTTAGAAGTTTTAAGCAATAAATAAAACATATAAAAAATTTTTTAAAACTGCTAGCAAAAAGTCATACAAAAGCCAATCAAATCTGTGCAGATTATTCTAGAACCGGATTTTCTAATTTGTTTTTATTTGCTATATTTCCTAACTGTATTAGACAAAATCAATAATATGGTTGAATCACACTAGTGAGTATTAAAACATTGTTATCTTTCTTATCTTAGCTACTTATAACTTGACTATTTAATATGGATTATCTGTTTATATGTTATACCTAATTAGGCTAACCAACTTCAACAACTACTATCTGATAGAATAACACTATCCTGGTTTAAGAAATTTAAAAAATAAATAGAAAAACCTTCTTATTAAACTATTTAATAATACAGAAGACTGATATTTCATTAATTTAGATTGCTGAATTTGTAGCTATCCATTTTTTCTTCATAGCTGTTTTCTTATTTGTAAATATTTAATTTATAAAGCATCAGAACAATCTCAGGATATTAGATTAATATATTTTAACTTTAAACGACAATCTGATTACCCTTTTTTGATATATGATAGAAGTGAATTACATGTACTTGAAAATATAAAGATACATAATCAAGTTAATATATTTAACCAACATGATATGAATGAAGATTATGAGAATATTATTGAAAAGCATCAAATTTTAGAATTCAAAATAACAGCATTGCAACATTTGGTCGACCATTTTAATAAAAAACAGATTGCGAATAATTTATAGCATATAAAAGCTGTTATTAACTATCTAAATTATACTTTTACTATATTTTCAAACATAGAAAAGGCAAAAAACTAGAAAGTACGACATACAACCTGGCATGAATCAAAGCTTTAAACCTATTTTTGAGTAATAATGATATTTAATAAAAAAAAAATTATTATTGTATTTTAGTTATTTGTCATATTAAAAAAAAAAAAAAAAAAAAGATAAAAATTGTAATATATTGTTAATATATTATGTACTTAGAGTTAACTACCTGATCTATATTAAATAAAATTTATTTACTATTATACAAAATGATTAAGATTTAAACACAGCTAATCAGCTAAATTCATAAAAGAGTTAAAAAAAGTATTTAAACCTTCTTGAAACTTTTGTATAGTTATTAAAGAGTTTATTATTAATTGTTTGGTTATAGAATAACTAATAAAATAACTGAACTACTATATAACTTATTGTGCTTTATATTACTATTGTAATTGTTATTATAAGAATTTTTTTATTTGTCATATAGATATACATTTGTATGTACATACATATAGTATAAATAATCATCATCTTGGAAATCATGTGATAGTAAAATCGATCCTACACCCTAGCATACTCATCTTTTTATTATTTTAATAATATACAAATTTTTTTACTAATTATTATAAATTTTTTTATTTATTAAGCTAATATATAACATATTTTTTTAAAACATCTTAATATCAGCTTTTAACATATAATATTCATCACTTTATTATCAACTATATATTGGCCTGCTATTTTTTTTTTTTGGCAATCCTGCTTTTATTGTATAAGGAATGCGTAATCTAAATACATAAGTTCCTAGCTAATGCCAACAACCCTTTCTTCTCTTCAATAAAAGCTCACCTGGCTACTCAAAGGTGCCCAGATGCAATCTGCTGCAGCAACTCTTTTCTTTCCTTATGGCTTTTAACTTGCTGAAAGATTACCTATTAGATCCTTGGATGGTAGTTGCTAGCCTTGTCAGAACTGCGTTTAAGTTTTGGAACAGTGTAGTCTATAGAGTCCTGACCACTTCGGTTTGATGTTAGTTGTAATTACCTTTCTAACTTCTTTCTTTGTTTTCTCCCACAGCTTTCGATCTGCTTCTTCTACTATACCTCTTTTAACTCTTGCCTCTTGGGTTTTTCTTTTCTTGGTTTTCTTGTATGATGGATTGCTTCTTTTGTCCTGCTTTCTTTTTTGTGAGTTTGTAATACCTTTGCCTTGCTCCTATTTATTTATCGCTTCACATTTTAGTCACCAGTTTACCTCTTGAAAGCATTTTCATAGCTTGTGGTTATACATCATTTGGAGCTCCTTTAGCAATCTGTTCTCATTTCTAAGCTCCCAGAAGATTCCTCTAATACAGTTAACTCTGTTTTTGTATTTATTCTCTTGGGTATCTCCTATTATTTCTTCTTTCTTAATATTATGAATCCTTCATTCGCTTTCTTTCTACTCTCTTTTTAACTTTTTCTTTTTAGCGTTCTCAAATACTTCATTCTCTATTCTGTTTTACAATTTATTATATATTTCACACGCGGCTAAGTGATCTAGATCTTCTTTTTCCCAAAAGCATGTGATGCAAAAATCAAATAGGTAGAAGTTTGAATTTTTTCTGTGAAGCATCTTTAAAGTTGGCAGCAACCCATTTATACACTTTATTTTAAAAATCTAGCTGTGGCTATCCTTTAAGCTTCTGCACCTATGTCCCACCTCTTTTCTTTGCATTCCCCATATTTCTCTCCAGTCTAGCCACTTTTCTTCTATACTACTTCTAATTAAACTATCTATATCTTTGCTATTTATCCAACCTATACTATAATACATTTTTGTTATACTATCTATCATTTCTCTAATAGGTATATTAATAATATGACCATCGCACCTCAGTAACACCTTCACTATTTTGGACTATTCTACTTTAAAGCTACACTACTTTTTAATGCTATTTCTTCTTTCACTAGTTTATTAGCTACTTCATTTAATTTAACCCCACTATGACCTTTTATCTTTACAAAACTTATATTAATATCTTTT